ATTCTGTATTCGTAAAAAGAAACAAAACCATTTATGTAAAGTGTTTATATATGAAGTTTTCCGTTTGTTTTTCCACAAGGTTACACAATGCATCCATCGCGAGAATCGAGCCCCGAATTTAGCGCTATAAGCCATGTACCTTACCACTGATCCATCGAGGACTGACAGTTTCAATCTCAGGAAGCTAAAAATCGAAACAAACGTAAAACAATAACTTGCAAATTATTTGATATCAATACGTAGTCAAATACATGAAGTTTTTTAGATATTATATAGTATTAAAACTTTAAAGAGTAGATGGTGTATATGTGGAGGAAAATTGAATCACTAGGAAACGTATTTGGACTGGGTTTAAAAAGAATTCTTAAGACGACACATGTAACTGATTCTTACTTTATTCGTTGCCCATAAATTCAGTTACCTGTTTAGTTGAACTAAGCTGTACTTAGAATATTAAAGAGTAGATGGTGTATATGTGGAGGAAACTTGAATCACTTGGAAACTTATTTGGACTGGGTTTAAAATGAATTCTTAAGGCGACACATGTAACTGATTCTTTCTTTATTCGTTGCCCATAAGTTCAGTTACCTGTTTAGTTGAACTAAGCTGTATTTAGAATATTAGTAGAAAGTATTACGAACTCCAATGTATATATTAAAATATTCATTTGTAGAACCGAGTTATCTGTTTTCCTCTTACTTGTGTATAAATTACACACTGATGATTACACTCTTAACCAGACCAGTATACCTTCAACTCGAGGTCTAATAGGCAACTTACAAATAGGGTTCTACTAACTGTAATTTAATGCGGATTAGAATATATCTCCAATTGTACACACTTATACAAACGGACTAGAATTTTGATATGGATGTTCTTTAACCTTACTTAGCAATACAAATATCTTATACGTATGATGCTTTATAGTTTGTTTTTTGACAGTTGTAGTTTTGATTTTACTTGGTCTTCATGTTTTACTACTTTTCATCTGCAGTATTTACCCTACTTAAATCGTGTTTTGAGGAAAAACATAAACTATTTGGTCATAAAAATACCATCTAAAACTATAGGATTTTTAGAGAGTCTACACGCCCTAAGATGTTTTAGGTTTTATTTTTTATATGAAAATTATTTTTTATCCACGATGATTTGCCGCAAAGAAGGAAGTAACTACTCGATCATTGCATTTCAACGCTAGCTATTCTTAAGAGATTTAAAATGAGTTACTTTTGTCTTCTTGTTGACAGAACTCTGCTGTCAAACAAAGAAACGCTTTAGAGTATTAAGCCTAGATATTGAAAAAAGAAACTTTTTGCGAACTTTGTTGGTCTTTTCAAGTAATTCTTTTACAGCGCGAGAGACCTGAAAAATGATGCGAAAAGCGCCAACCGATTGAAAAAACACAACTAAAGTCTTTGCAAGTTGAAACATAGAAATGATAAAACTTTAAAAACTCATCATAAAAAAATTCATTATAGCTCGACCAGTCCTATGTTTTAGAAGCGTAGATAAATAGAATGTAACACATATCTTCGATATTCTTTCCAAGCCGTTTAGGGTAAATGGTTGAAAAAAGAAAGTGTCAATTACGTTTTACGCTGTCTTCAAAGTAAAGTCTATAATAACCACTGAGCTTGAATACGTTATATTAAAACAATTTTGGAGTCTCACCACGTCGTTATGGACCATGTCGCCACGTCCACTCATGCTCTATCTGACGACAGTACATCTTTACAAGTAGCCCAGCAGCGTAGTTTTCATTACAGAAGTCTGGTAGTAAAAGCACACATCCTCTCCCTGCAAATTCCCGTAACGTATTCGGTGTAGGATGACGATGGTTTCCTAGCACCCATTCCAACAGTTCGATTGCGTAAAAATCCTTACGCGACTTGACCGGTTTATATATTTGTAGAGCCCGGCATGGCCAGGTGGATAAGGCGCTCGACTCACAATCTGAGGGTCGCGGGTTCGAATCC